TTTACATTTTTCTATAATTGTGCCTATTTACTTAAATTTTTTATTTAAGTAATATAGAGTTATAGGGAGTATTCTTTTAAAATTTATTTATTTTTCTTGTGTATCTCTGGCTGTAATATTTTCTATTTGTAATTGCTTGCATTTACCCATTTTTTTTCCTGCCTATACTTACTTGTCCAGATATCAGTTTATTGGCTTATTTAAATGGATTTACTTTTCTTTTGTTTTTCTAATATATTGTTTACTCATTCATTCTGTCACTCTGTCTCCCACTTACTCAATCTTCTTCCCAGGAGAAGACCAGTACTTCCAGTGTCTCGAGTATTCTTCTGAATATATATTTACAAATAAAAATTCATATTATATTATATTATATTATATTATATTATATTATATTAATCATACTATACCAGGGGTGGGCAAACTTTTTGACTCGAGGGCCACAATGAGTTCTTAAACTAGACCGGAGGGCCGGAACAAAAGCATGGATGGAGTGTTTGTGTGAACTAATATAAATTCAAAGTAAACATCATTACATAAAAGGGTACGGTCTTTTTTTTTTTTTTTTTTTTTTTTTTTAGTTTTATTCATTTCAAATGGGCTGGATTCCGCCCGCGGGCCGTAGTTTGCCACGGCTGTACTATACTATACTATATCAGTGTGCAGGTGTGTGTCTTTCCCTCCTTTTCAATGAAAACCAAAGCATACAATATTCATTCTACAAGTTGTATTTTACATTTAAATAATATAGCTTTGATATCTTTCAAATTAGCACAGACAGAGCTGTTTTCTACAGCTACATAGTATTCCTTTGTAAGGATATACCGTTATGAGTTTAGCCAGTCCTCTAATAATGAACAGATAGGTTATTTCAGTGATTTGCTATTACAAACAGTGCTGCAACGAACAGCCTCACAACATATGGCACTTTTCACATGTGCCCATATATCTGTTGGATAAATTCTCAGAAGTGGAATTTCTGGGTAAAAGGAAAAACACTTTTGTAATTTTGAAAAATATTGCCAAATTTCCCTTAAGAAAAGATTTTTATTGACTTGGGAGAGGAAGGGAGATGGAGAGAGAGATAGAAGCCTCAACGATGCAAGGGAATCACTGTCTGGCCGCCTCCTGTATGTCCCACATTGGGGATCTAGCCAGCAACCCAGGCATGTGCCCGATGGGGAACTGAACGCTGATCTCCTGATTCAGAGGCTGATGCTCAATC